TCCAAAACCATGCCCAATAATATGCAATTGACCACCTTTTCAAGTATTACATCCTCAACTCTTCTGGGAAGTCTTTCCACTAGATTTTGGAGGTTGTATGTGGGAATTTGTTTTCATTTATCCCAAAAGAACATTTGTGATGTCAGGTACTCATGTTGGATAATTAGGGTTGATGTCCTGGCTCTGTAAAGGCCCCTTGAGTACCTCTACCCCAAACTCATCAAACCATGTCTTTATGGAGCTGGCTCTTAACACAAAGGCATGGTCATGCTGAAACAGAAAAGAGCCTTACAAGGTTGAAAGCACAGCTGTCTAAAATGTCTTTATAAGCTATAAGATGAACAAAACCTTTCATTGGAAACACCTGAATGTATTAATTGGAGGAATGTCTGCATATTTCTGGTCATATAGCATACCCATAAAACTCTATTATTCCATACTTATGCTTATATACACCACCTTTCCTCTGCTACAGCCAAGAGAAAGTCCTGGAAATTGGTAATTTAAGCACCCAGTGCTGCATCATGGGAGGAAGATTAAACTTTGCCTATACAGTAGTACTGGGGAATCCTTGCCCAGAGTGGACTGGAGCAACCCTAAACAGTGAGAGCGACTCCTCTGAGCACGGCTACTGTCAGCAGTAATAACCTGACAAAGTCTAACTCATCCCTCCCTATCCAACCTTAAAAAAAATTCACCCTTAGGTCATCACAGAGGACAAGGGGGCACTCTTTATGTCTGGAGGAAAAGAGATTAAATCTCCAAGTATGAAAGGTTTCTTCACAGTATGAGCTGTGAAAATGTGGAATAGATTTCCTCAGAGTTGTTTCTGGATATCATATAACCTCTGTACAATTCTTTGGTAACACCTCATCTGGAATATGCAGTTCAATTTTGGGCATCAATTCACAAAAAGAACATTAGGGAACTGGAGAACGTACAGAGAATGGCAACCAAACTAATAAGAGGCATGGAGGAGCTCAGCTATGAGGAAAGATTAGAGGAACTGAATTTATTCTCTCTTGAGAAGAGGAGATTAAGGGGGATATGATCAACATGTATAAATACATCAGTGGTTCATATAGTGAAATCGGTGTAGACCTCCTCCCGAGGTCATCACAGAGGACAAGGGGGTACTGTACATCTGGAGAAAAAGACATTTAATCTCCAAACACGGAAAGATTTCATCACAGTAAGAGCTGTGAAAATGTGGAATAGACTCCCTCAAGAGTTGGTTCTGGCCATTTTAGTGGATTGCTTTAAAAAGGCCTGGATTCTTTCTTGGATACATAGAATATAACTGGATATTAACATCTATAGGTAAAGTTGATCCAGGGAATATCCAAATGCCTCTCGGGGGATCAGGAAGGAATTTTTTCCCCTGCAGGAGCAAAGTGGATCATGCTTTGCTGGGGTTTTTTTGCCTTCCTCTGGATCCACTCTGGATTATATATATATATATATATATATATATATATATATATATATATATATATTTTTTTTTTTTTTTTAATGATTGAGCTGGATGGACTTTTGTCAGCCAGACTAACTATGCAAATATATATATATCTATCTCAGGCATTTCTGGACTCTTAAGGCCTGGATGGACTTAGGCCATGTGGACACTGCTGAGAATCGTCTTGTAATACCAGGAGAACAAGATTACACAGCAGGGTGTGTGTGTAACAAAAGACTGCATACCAGAATCCTGACCCTGGAAAAGAATTCACACATACCCCCTAGCTGTGGTTTAACCTCCCTGGCGGTATTCCCGAGTGTAGCTCGGGGTAAAATGTCAGTGCCAAAAGCGGTAACCCCGAGCTACACTCGGGCTTACCCTGCGGCGTTGCATAGGGAGTCCCTGCAGAGCTTACCTTGTCCTTCACTCCCCGCGATGTGTCCCCTGCAGTGTCCACGGCCATCTCCTCCGGCCGATGCATCCGGCTTCTGTGTTCCGGTCCCTGTGACGTCGGGACGTACGGGCGCCACCGGCGGTGGGAAATTTGAAAATTTTAAACAATTTCATTTTTTTCAAAACACATTTTTCATAGTAAAACATTGCTGTTTCAACCCATTTCACATACATTTTGTCCCGAGTGCTTTGTCCTGTGCCCTGCCTGCATTTTGTCTGTTCTTTCTGCCTGGACACTGAGAAACGTCCATGGCGTCCAAAAAGCGTCCCTTTAGGTCAAAAGCGGGTTTAGATCAGCTAGAGAACAGCGATAGTAAATCAGAACCACTTGCAGAATTGAGTGATAATGATTCGTGGAGAAATTAGTCATCAGATACTGAAAACAATTTTGCCACTTTGCTCAGCGATGTGCGAACTTGGCGCTCTATTTCAAATTTCAGTGTTTTTGGTTTGATTATATTATTGAATTAAATTTATTATTATTATATTATTATTTGTTATGATTATTTATTAAATTATAATTTATGATTTCGTGTTTTTTAAATTTTATCATACCCGGGATGTTTAATAGACTCTTGTTCGGACAGATTTCAGTGAGTTATTCCTAAAAATTACAGCCTACAATAAAAAACTACATATTTCCATGCAAAATAATGGTACCGCTTTCAGCACCAAAAATCTGAAATAATCAGACTGCCAGGGAGGTTAAGAAAGCCTCACCTTAGATTTCCTGATAATGTGGAGATTAAAATGATCAATTTCCAGGCCTGCAACAAGATCCAAGGGGCCAGATGTGGACCGGAATGCTGAGGAGCTTGATGGCAGTGTAACAAACCCATCTGGTGAAGGACAACATTATACTTTCTGGAGGCTATTCAGGACAGCCCCTTATAATTTATGGATGGTCATTCATTGGACTATAAGGGCGGACAGGGGGTGTCAGTATGGGTGGTGTTTTGAGTGCCTTAAAAATGCAAGGGCTAACATCAAGCATCTTCTCTCTTTTCTCTTGAAGCCCAGCTAAGAAACAGAACTTTGAGGACGGACTTACATAACGTATCATCTCTGCTCTTTTATTTCTATATGCTCTGTAATGTCCTATTAGATTTCTATATTAGTATTTTTCTTTCTTTGTACATAAATAAGACCTTTGCTTCTTTGAGTATTGTGTTTATTATTATAGCTAATATTGTTATTATACTATCACCATTAATATTATCAGAGCTTTAACAGAATAGCCCATTATAGAAACAGACAAGATAGTACATATTTATATTTTAAGTAAGGGGAATGCAAAACCACCCCCAATTTATTTAAGTAGGTATACACATCTTTCCTCCACAGGCTAGTTAGTAAAGGGCAACGGTCACTAAATGGTAGATTGCGGTCCGCGAATGGCCCCAGCAGCGCTGCCGCCCGGACCGCCAGCCCGCCAACCGCAATGACAGATCCGCCGCTGAGCAGGGCGGTCGTCATGGCAAAATGACATCACATGTGCGCCCCGCCCCTTTCAGCTCACTGACTCTCCGGCTTCCACTCCCTGCCTGTACACAAGCATCCAGCAAGGAATCAGGCGCAGCTCCTGTCTGCCCTCAAGGTAGGGTGTAGTCTTACAGGGGCACTCTGATGGGCACATTGAATGTTAAAGGACACTCTGGTGGGCACAACCTAGAATCTGCCTGTCAGAGCGCCCCTTAATATAAAATGTGCCCATCAGAGTGCTCCTTAACCAATTCAATACCGGGCAATTTTACCCCTTCCTGCCCAGGCCATTTTTCAGGTTTCAGCGCTCTCACACTTTGAATGACAATTGCGCGCTCATACAACATTGTACCCAAACTAAAATTTTATAATTTCTTCACACAACTAGAGCTTTCTTTTGGTGGTATTTAATCATCGCTGGGGTTTTTATTTTTTGCTAAATTAACAAAAAAGACCAAATTTTTTTTTAAAAAAACATGTTTTTCTTTGTTTCTGTTATAAAAGTTTGCAAATAAATAATTGTTCTTCATAAATTTAGGCCGAGATGTATTCTGCTACATGTCTTTAGTGAAAATAACCCAAATTAGGATGTATTTTTTAGTTTGTAGGAAAGTTATAGAGTTCACAAACTATGGTATAGATCTGAATATTGATCAATCCTGAAGTACTGACGGCCAATCTAATTTCTTGAGGTCCAAGAATGTCAGAACAGTACAGATATCCCCAAATGACCACTTTTTGCAAAGTAGACAGTCCGACGTATTTCATTAGAGGCATGGCAAGTTTTTTGAAGTTGTATTTTTTTTGTCATAATTTTTCGGAAAATGAACAAATAAAAAAAATTATTTTCACTATTTTTTTTTTACATACTCTCACCAGTGCAGTAAAGCATCATCATATAACTGGCATGGCAGTGATCAGGGACACTGACTGGTGACAGTGTGAAAAAAATATATATATATATTTTCTTTTATTTTAAATTTTTTATTAAATTTTTTTTTTTTTTAAAGATTTTTTTTCATATTTCACTATGTCTAAAACAGTACAATGTTACCATAGTAACATTGTACTACTTTGGGGAAGTGATCAGTATTTTTTTTTTTTTTTTTTTACACAATTTGCTTATAGCAAAGAATTACTTTGCTATAAGCAAGCATTTACCTGAATGACATCGATTCATTCAGGGTTTTTTTTTTTTTTTTTTTTTTTTGTGCTTAGCTGTGTCCGAGGTACATGGCCGGTGACATATCGCGCCGCGACGCAGCTCTGCAAGCGCGCAAGCTGCGCGTGTGCGGGAGGACGCCATATGGCGGCCTCCCGGAAAGCTAATGCATTTTTGCAGACGCCATTTGGCCATAGGCCAGGTGTCAAATGGTTAACATAAAATGTGCCCATCAGTGTGCCCCTTTTTATGTTAAGGGGCACTCTGATGGGCACATTTTATGTTAAGGGTCACTCTGATGGGTACATTTTATGTTAAGTGGCACTCTGATGGGCACATTTTATGTTAAGGGTCACTCTGATGGGTACATTTTATGTTAAGGAGCACTCTGAGAGGCCCATATTATGTTACAGGGCACTCTCATGGGCACATTTTATGTTAAGGGTCACTCTGATGGGTACATTTTATGTTAAGGGGCATAAATAGGCACATACTGTGGAAAGGGGCACTTTGATGGGCACATGTGATGGAAAGGGGCACTGTGATGGGGAATATGATGTAAATGGACCCTCTGAAATATGATAGAAAGGGGTACTTTGAGTGTAAGGGAGCACTCTGGTGGGAATACCTGATGTAAGTTGGCAATGTGATGGGGATACCAGATGTAAAGGGGCATTCTGATGGGGATACCAGATGTAAAGGGGCACTCTGATGGGCACACCTGAGGTTATGGGAATGCATGATGTAAAGTTGCACTCTGATGGCAACACCTTATGTAAAGGGGCACACTGATGGACACACCCTATTCGGACCTCGGCCAGAAGAAAATTTTAGTGACTGGACCTCCTTGAATGCTAATTCAATACCCCTGGTATAGGGCTTACAAAGGGAGTGCAAGTAGATTTAAGATTAGACCAGACTTCTTCTTTAACTACCTGCCGACCGCAGATAGCCGAATGACGGCTGCACTGCGGCCGGCCAGTTCTGAGTGGACGTCATATGACGTCCTCCCAGAACGCGCTCTCCTGCGCGCCCCAGGGGGCACGCACCCGGCGATCTCCGTGATCGCTGTGTCCTACGGACACAGCTGATCACGTGATGTGGTAAAAGGCCAATCACAGCGGCCTTTTACCACGTGATCAGCGGTGTCCAATGACACGCTGATCAGAGGGAAATGCAAGTGCCGGTTCTCGGCTGCACTTTCCTCACGCTGTCAGATCGTGAGGAAAGTACTGCCAAGAACCGGCAGTTGTCAGAGCGGGGATCGGCACCGATCATCAGGGCACTGATGATCAGTGCCCTGATGATTGGTGCCCAGCAATGCCACCCGCAAGTTCCGCCCACCTGTGCCCAGCAGATCAGCCACCTGTGCCCAGCAGTGCACCCACCTATGCCCAGCAGTGCACCCACCTGTGCCACTCTGCAGTGTCACAAACCTGTGCCCAGAAGTGCCACCTACCTGTGCCCAGCAGTGCCACCCACCAGTGCCCACCCACCTGTGCCCACCAGTGCCACCCACCTGTGCCCACCCACCAGTGCAGCCCAGCAGTGCTGCCAGTCAGTGCCACCAGTCAGTGCCCAGGGGTTGTGCCAGTCAGTGCCGCCAGTCAGTGCCCAGCAGTGATGCCAGTCAGTGCCACCTATCAGTACCCATCATCAGTGTCACCTATCAGTGCCACCTATCAGTGCTGCATATTAGTGCCACCTATCCATGACACCTCATTAGTGCTGTCTATCAGTGCCGCCTATCCGTGCCACCTCATTAGTACTGCCTATCAGTGCCCTTTAGTGCTGCCTATCAGTGCCCATCAGTGCCGCCTATCAGTGCCCATCAGTGCTGCCTCATCAACGCACATCAGTGAAGGAGAAAAAATACCTGTTTGAAAAATTTTATAATAGAAACAAGGAAACTTTTTTTTTTTTTTTTCAAATTTTTTGCACTTTTTTTATTTATAGCGCAAAAAGTAAAGCGCCCAGTGGCGATTAAATACCACCAAAAGAAATCTCTATTTGTGAGAAAAAAATGATCAAATTTTCATATGGGTACAATGTTGCATGACCGCGCAATTGTCAATCGAAGTGCGGCAGCGCTGAAAGCTGAAAATTGGCCTGGTAAATAAGGGGGTATAAGTGCCTGGTAGGCAAGTGGTTAATATGAGGACCTATTCAACTATCCAATAATTTTTTATCCAAGCAAGCAGGCCCTTGCGCTACATAGTTGTAGGTAGATCTAAAGGAGATTGTACATTCAGTTTATGGTGAGCTATAGTCTTGCAAAATTTTACTGGAGCCAAAACACGGAAAAAAAAATTAAACACAATAAACAAATAGTAGTTAATTTTACTTTATTTTATTAACATGTTAACAATGTACTAACTGTATACCATATGCTTGTATTATTTCCTTCTATGCCTATGTGTCAGTTTATTTAAAACTTTTCTAAACTCTTGGCTCCTGAGGCTATATAAAAGGGGATTAATAAATGGGGTTAGAACTGTGTACAATAGAGACCTCCATTTGTTTTTTCACGGAGTGAATTATTTCTTGCTGTAAAAATATATATTGTAACTAAAGCCCCATAATGTGTGCTGACAGTGGCGAGATGGGAACTACAAGTGGAGAATGCCTTCTTCCGTCCAGCAGAGCTAGAGATTTTCACAATTGTAATGAAAATACAGATATAAGACAAAATAACAAATAGGAATGGAATAAATATGAGAAAGACAGAGATCATGAAATCTTGCCATCGTATTATATTGGTATCGGATGAAGAAAGCCTGAGAAAAGGGGCAAAATCACAAAAGAAATGGTCAATGACATTTGAGTCACAAAACTGTAATTGGAATATTAAGAGGAATTCACTTGGAATAATGAAAAAACCAGCTGCCCAGGACCAGAAAGCCAAATGGAAACACAATTTAGGGTTCATGACAGAAGAATAACGCAAAGGTTGGCAAATAGCCATATAGCGGTCAAAAGACATTACAGAAAGTATTACAGATTGTGTGTAAATTGCAATACAGTGAACATAGTATTGTATAAAGCACCCCGTTGTAGTAATCTTGCCCCCATCCATCAATATAATATATAGCATGTTGGGTACAATGTTGGCAGTGAACATGAGGTCCACTAGTGCCAACTGCCTGAGGAAGTAAAACATGGGAATTTGGAGTTCATGATATCTTGTCACCAGTATGACAATCAGAAGATTTCCTATCACTATCATAATGTACACAAGGAGGGCCAGTATGAAAATCAGCACTTTCAGATGGGAAAAACTTTCAAATCCCAGTATTAGAAATTCAGTCACTTCAGTTTGATTCTTCTCACACATTGTTTTTTAAGATGTTTAAAACTTTCGCTCAAGCCTGAAACATAATAAAATTTGGTTATTAGAGAGATCACATTTAAGTCATCAGGGACTGAAACATTCAATATTATAAAGTTCACAATTAATTATCCGAGACTGAAATATTCCATAAATCAATCCTTGTCCTTTTCTATGAAAGAGCTTCAGTTTGTCCAACTTGTTACATTATTCACAAATACTGTATATTGCTTCTCATTTGTCTAGATAAATGGATAAATCTTAGTAAATATACTGTGAGTAACTATGCGTTGTGTTGGTCTTTTTCTTAAACATTGGGGACACACAGGTAACAAAATGCATGATGAAACATATGCTGCACACATATATTTTAAGGCCTCTTTCACATCAGCAGATTCTAGTGAAATGATAGATGCGTGTGAACAGCAGCGGTCACAAAAGATATTCAATGTAATGACAGGCTGCGAGGAGCCATAACTGTTCACAACCAGTAGTTACAGTGGGGATCGAAAGTTTGGGCACCCCAGCTAAACATTTGTATTAATGTGCATAAAGAAGCCAAGGAAAGATGGAAAAATCTCCAAAAGGCATCAAATTACAGATTAGACATTCTTATAATATGTCAACAAAAGTTAGATTTTATTTCCATCATTTAAACTTTCAAAATACCAGAAAACAAAAAAATGGCGTCTGCAAAAGTTTGGGCACCCTGCCCCCTTTGCAAAGCTGAGACCTGCCAGTGTCATGGATTGTTCTCAATCATTGTCTGGGAAGATCAGGTGATGTCAATCTCAAAGGTTTTAAATGCCCAGACTCATCTGACCTTGCCCCAACAATCAGCACCATGGGTTCTTCTAAGCAGTTGTCTAGAAAACTGAAAGTGAAAATAGTTGACGCTCACAAAGCTGGAGAAGGCTATAAGAAGATAGCAAAGCGTTTTCAGATGTCAATATCCTCTGTTCGGAATGTAATTAAGAAATGGCAGTCATCAGGAACAGTGGAAGTTAAAGCAAGATCTGGAAGACCAGAAAGATCTGGCAGACACTGGAGTTGTGGTACACTATTCCACTATAAAGAGATACTTGTACAAATATGGTCTTCATGGAAGAGTCATCAGAAGAAAACCTCTTCTACGTCCTCACCACAAAAATCATCGTTTGAACTTTGCAAATGAACATATAGACAAGCCTGATGCATTTTGGAAACAAGTTCTGTGGACCGATGAGGTTAAAATTTAACTTTTTGGCCGGAATGAGCAAAGGTACGTTTGGAGAAGAAGGGGCACAGAATTTAATGAAAAGAACCTCTGCCCAACTGTTAAGCATGGGGTTGGATCAATCATGCTTTGGGGTTGTGTTGCAGCCAGTGGCACAGGGAACATCTCACGAGTAGAAGGAAAAATGGATTCAATAAAATTTCAGCAAATTTTGGATGGTAACTTGATGCCATCTGTGAAAAAGCTGAAGTTAAAGAGAGGATGGCTTCTACAAATGGATAATGATCCTAAACACACCTCAAATTCCACGGGGGATTACATCAAGAGGCGTAAACTGAAGGTTTTACCATGGCCTTCACAATCTCCTGACCTCAACATAATTGAAAATCTATGGATAGACCTTAAAAGAGCAGTGCGTGACAGACAGCCCAGAAATCTCAAAGAACTGGAAGACTTTTGTAAGGAAGAATGGGCAAAGATACCTCAAACAAGAATTGAAAGACTCTTAGCTGGCTACAAAAAGCGTTTACAAGCTGTGATACTTGCCAAAGGGGGCAGTACAAGATATTAACTCTGCAGGGTGCCCAAACTTTTGCAGACGCCATTTTTTTGTTTTCTGTTATTTTGAAAGTGTAAATGATGGAAATAAAATCTAACTTTTGTTGACATATTATAAGAATGTCTAATCTGTAATTTGATGCCTTTTGGAGATTTTTCCATCTTTCCTTGGCTTCTTTATGCACATTAATACAAATTTTTAGCCGGGGTGCCCAAACTTTCGATCCCCACTGTACCTGCAGTTAGGGACAGATGTCCAAGACTAGACACACATTTCTGGGATCAGTGTCACTCATCTGTCCCGAACCGCATGTAACCACTGAATTTCTAGCTACAGTTGTGTTCAAAATAATAGTGTGTTGAAAAAAGTGAATAAAGCTCAAAATTCTTCTAATAGCTTTTATTTCCATACACACAAATGCATTGGGAACACGACACATTCTATTCCAAATCAAAACATGAAGAAAAATAGATCAAATTTGTGTTGTTCCTCTAAAAAAAATTGAAAAAAAGTGAATATTAGTTGTTCAAAAAAAAATAGCAGTGTTTGTATTCTTCTTTACAAACTCAAACATTCACTATATAAACTTAAAAATGTTTGAAGATTTTGCTTTCTTTGAATCACTTAATGAATATTTAGTTGTATAAGCACTGTTTCTGAGAACTGCTGTACATCTGTGTTGCATGGAGTCAACCAACTTCTGGCACCTGTGAACAGGTATTCCAGCCCAGGATAATTGGACTACATTCCACAGTTCTTCTTTATTTCTTGGTTTTGCCTCAGAAACTGCATTTTTGATGTCACCCCACAAGTTTCCTATTGTATTAAGATCCGGGGATTGGGCTGGCCACTCTATACCATCAATCTTGTTGGTCTGGAACCAAGATGTTGCACGTTTACTGGTGTGTTTGGGGTCGTTGTCTTGTAGGAACACCCATTTCAAGGGCATTTCCTCTTCAGCATAAGGCAGCATGACCTCTTCAAGTATTCTGATGTATTCAAACTGATCCATGATCCCTGGTATGCGATAAATAGGCCCAACACCGTAGTATGAGAGACATCCCCATATCATGATGCTTGTGCAGCCATGCTTCACTGTCTTCACAGTGTACTGTGGCTTGAATTCAGTGTTTGGGGGTCGTCTGACAAACTGTCTCCGGCCACTAGACCCAAAAAGAACAATCTTACTTTCATCAGTCCACAAAATGTTGCGCCATTTCTCTAGGCCAGTCAATGTGCTCTTTGACATATTGTAACCTCTTCAGCACATGTCTTTTTTTCAACAGTGGGACTTTGCTGGGGCTTCTTGCAGATAGCTTGGCTTCACATAGGCGTCTTCTAATTGTAACAGTACTCACAGGTAACTTTAGACCTTCTTTGATCTTCCTGGAGCTGATTGTCGGCTGAGTCCTTGCCATTTTGGCTATTCTTCTATCCATTTGAATGGTAGTTTTTTCGCTTTCTTCCACGTCCTTCAGGTTTTGGTTGCCAATTTAAAGCATTTGCGATCATTTCAGCTGAGCAGCCTATCATTTTCTGTACTTCTTTATATGTTTTCCCCTCTCCAATCAACTTTTTAATCAAGGTACGCTGTTCTTCTGAACAATGTCTGGAACGACCCATTTTCCTCAGAATTTCATAGAGAAATGCACTGTAACCAGCATGTACAACATTTGCTGCCTTGCTTCCTTAAATAAGGGCAATAATTGCCACCTGTTTTTCAAAGAATGAATGACCTCACTAATAGAACTCCACACTGCTATTATTTTGAACATGCCCCTTTCAATTAGTGATTCAATTACACAGAATCAGCAGCATGCATGTCATAACTGTTGGGTCTGTTGGATTTCTATTACTCTACTACACCTGCAAGTAAATTATTTGCCATGTAGAAATATAATTTCTACCAAAAACAGTGATTGATCAGGTTAGTGATGTCTGACTGCTATTATTTTGAACACAACTGTACATGCGTTTAGCAATGACTCTTCTCAACCGGTCATTGCTATGTACAGACTGAGCAGCCGCAGCTGCTTAAATACAACTGTCATCCCAACCACAAGAATCTGCTGGAATCTGGTGTATGCAAGTATCTGCCCATGTAAACGAGGCCTACCAATACAGATTTATAGTTGTATTTTTAAAATGTTGTAAACCTCTGAAATTAAAAATGAACAATGCATAGCCCTCTATAGTGCGTATTCTATCCAAAGCACCTAGTGTGATTTCTGTCTCCTATCTCATTCTGTTACAGTATCTGCATGAGTTAAGAGAGTAGTCTGACATGGAAGGTGTGACTCCACAGACATGAAACTTTATCACTGTACCAAGCCACTCTTCCAGATGTTCAGAGATGAAAATGGCACATGCACGTTATATGGTTTTCATGCACTCTGTGAAAACAGTTGGCACCCCCCCCCTGCAGTGAAGTAGAAAATGCAGAAAGTGGAAGAAGGCGACTTGAAGTGCTCCATCAACAGGCAAAGTGATGGCAACAGTCTTCTGCATAGCTGCTGCATACCCTTGGAATACCAGAAAGCTTAACCACTGTGCTGGTAGCTCAGAATTATAATTCCCCATGCCTTGGCTATGAGGCTCACCTGCCTTGCCAACGTACAGTATATATGAATATACCTATGAGGAATAGGTTAAAGGCTAACTCCACTTTTTGCCTGCAAAGCCATGTCATTCATTCACAGAGATCTGTGAATTAATGAACTACAAGTCCAATCTGTCACTTCAGCAGATAGACTTGTAGTTCTCAATGGAGCACAAGTGTGATGATCACACCACACTTGTCCATTGACACTTTCTCCAGCTCTCCACCTGAAAGAGTTCACCTCTGTACAGGCTGGAATCTGTAAGAAGAGTCAGCAGGAGCCTGGAATTGCAACCACCATCCACTGATCAGAGGTGCAATGATTTGCAGGCTCCTATGCAAAAAATAATATTTGCACGTTTTCCTGAAAAAAAAAAGTATATACTGTACACTATATTGCCAAAAGTATTGGGACACCCCCTCCAAATCATTGGATTCAGGTGTTCCAATCACCTCCATGGCCACAGGTGTATAAAATAAAGCACCTAGGCATTCAGACTGCTTCTACAAACATTTGTGAAAGAATGGGTTGCTCTCAGGAGCTCAGTGAATTCAAGCGTGGTCCTGTGATAGGTTGCGATAAGTCCATCCATGAAGTGTCCTCGCTACTAAATATTCCACGATCAACTGTT